ACCCCGGTCCATCCCTCCCCACCTTGCCGCCTCGCCCTTCTGGGACTGGAAACACCAGCCCGGCTACTGCCAAGGCCTGTGGACCCCCATGTCCCCTCCCCATGTCCCCTCATGTCCCGTCCACCTCCCCCCCCGTCCCCTCCCCATCCCCCTCCGGAGTCGGACGCCACTCTGGCTGTGACTTGGGACATATGTGGGGAGCTGGCCTTTGTCTCTTAACAAAAACTTAGGGATGTTTTCTGTGCTTGTACTGAGTTTTAAGCACTGCGGAGCAGTCCAGGAAGGGGAAGGTGGAAGCCACACCAGTGGATCCTCCGATCCCCGGGGTGGGTCCTCCAACCGAGTCCCTCCCCTGCTGCAGCTAAGTTTTAACGGCCCCTTGGGGTCTAGACCCACTGACAGCAGACTTCTGGAGGTGCTGAGTTTAGTGGTCTAGGCTGGGTGCCGGCTGATCAGAGCTTTGTCACTCAGCTGGTTCTGGGAAGGCCCCTGTGAGGACCACCAAGTCAGCGTTTTGAGCTACTTGAATGGAACTCTTTTGGCTTCCACTGCAAGACCAGGGCCCACCCTCATCACCTTCCTGTAGCCCCAGAACCTGGGAGGGGCCCCCCAAGGCCAGGCTCAGGTCCCTGGTGGCTGAGTCCCTCAGGTCCAGTAAGCAGCTTCACCTGGTGCAGGCGGGACTGAAGTTCCGCCGTGTCCTCCTGGGGTGACCCCTCCATTCCATAGCATGTTTCCTACACTGCTGACATTTTATTCAGGATAGTAACTCAGGTCTTAAGCCCCAGTGAACCAGGAGTCTCCAGGAAAGTATGTGTTGGTCCAAAATAAACAGCCCAGAAGCTGTCACAGGTTGGCCCAGCCAGGTTCCTCTCCAAACCTCGGTAGCACTCAGTCGTGGGCAGGATAGGTTCATCCTTCCTAGCAAACGTGAGTCAGCAGGAATGCCTGGGGATAGCCCAAAGCAGCTTTGCAGATGACACATTGGTAAAACAAGCCCCCTCAGAGGTCACCCTCTGCCCATCTGTGGGGCTCCACCCAGAGGTGGAGGGAAGGTGGGAACCTGGGGCTGGATCTTCCGGCCTCTGGAGCCGTTCACTGCTATTTTGTGGCTTTCATCATTAGCCATCTGTATACAAGGCTGGGGGTGAGGGGCTGTGAGATGCTGAAATGTAGAGGCTCCCAGTTGTCTGGGCCTGTCACTGGAGGGGGACGGATAATAAGTGCATTATCAACACCAGAAAGATCTCGCCCTCCTCTGCCACCCAGCAGTGCTGAGAATGGAGCTGCAAAACACTGCTCCTCCATAAACAGTTGTTTGCTTGAAGAGGTGTGAGGCGGGCTCTTCTGAGTGTGCCCTGCCCTCCCCTGCTGCCGTCAAAGAACAGCCATTCCCGTCTTTCCCTTTTGGGCCTTATTTGGGGTCTAATCAGAATGAAGATAACATTGTAGTTTCTAGTGGGGAAGCCACCTTTGGCATTTTTGTGTTTTCTGTTCTCCACCTACCCAACTGTTTTAATCCATAAGAAATCTCTTTCAAAGCCTGGTGTGGTGGTGCACACCTTCAACTCCAACCCTGAGGCAGAGGCCTCCAGATCTCATAGACATCTCTGTCAAGGTCAGCTTGGTCTATATGGTGAATTCCAGGCAGGCTGGGACTAGGGAGATCCTGTTTAAAAAAAAAAAAAAAGAGGGGCTGGAGAGATGGCTTAGCGGTTAAGAGCACTGACTGTTCTTGCAGACGACCCAGGTTCGATTCCCAGCACCCACATGGCAGCTGTGAACCGTCCTTAACTCCAGTTCCAGGGGAATCCAAAGCCCTCTTCTGACCTCCGAGGCATTGCACGACCCGGGTGCACTCACGTACATGCAGGCCATACACTCATACACATAAAATAAAAATGGTAAATAAAATTAAAAAAGAAAAATCTTTTTCTCTCTGGCTGGGCGTTTCCACTCAGGATGTGCTGGTTTAAGCTTTCGCTTTTTTTTTTTTTTTTTTGGTCTTACTGAGATAGGGTCTCCCTGTAGCCCTAGCTGGGCTGGAACTCTGTAGACCAGGCTGGCCTTGAACTCACAGAGATCGGCCTGACTCTGCCTCTGAGTGCTGGGACTAAAGTCGTGCACCACACACCTGGCCCCCCTTACTTACTTTTTTAGACACATCTTGTAGGTCCTAGCGAAGCCTCTCAAGCATTTGAAGTATATTTGGGATATGTCAAGGGCTACTTGACTGACAGCATGAATTTTCTTACTCCCTGAAGTATCCCACACTGGTAAAATGAAGGGTTCTCGGGGGACAGGGAGAGCAGAGGGCTGAGGTCAGCCACCCTCACTGAAATGGAGGCCGGCGGGAGGTGACACCGCTGGTTGTAGTTTCCCCTTTTCCTGTTTGCAGTGCAGTGTCCAACTCATGGCCTCACACAGGCTTGGGCAGGCTCCCCTCAGCGAGCGCATCCCCAGCTCTTTACGTTCTGTGGATGGCAGCTAAATTGGCCATAAATTGTTTTTTGGTTTTTATTTTATGTGGATGGATATTTTGCCTCCATGTGTGTAAGTGCACCCGTGTGTGCAGGGCCTGAAGCGGGTGTCGGATCCCTGGGAACTGGAGTTAAGGATGGTTGTTAGCCATCATGTGGATGCTGGGAACCCAACCCAGATCCTCTCAAGACTATCCAGTGCTCTTAACCACTGAGCCATCTCTCCAGCCTCTGTTGAAGGTTTGAAACAGTGCCGTTGCTGTGCTGTGCTTTATCAGTGGCATGTCTCTCCGGCTCTGTGGTCCAGTTGCCTAGCCTGGTCTTGGCTGGCTGCCTACATAGTATAGATAACACAGGATGGGCCTGGGATCCCAGCACCTAGGACGTGGTGACAGCAGCTGAACCGGCGTTCCAGGCCATCCTTACTACAGGGTAGGTCAGAGGCAGGCCTGGGCTATTAGAGACCAGAAATCAGGCAACAGCTGGGTGTGGTGGCACATACCTTTAATCCCAGCAGGCAAATCTCTGAGTTCCAGAGATCTCAAAAAAAGGGAGGGAAAAAAAAACCCAACAGTAGACTGGTTGTGTTGTTTTATGTTTAGAGAGTCTCACACTTGCCAGACATGAGACACTCCTGTAATATCAGCACTGGGCAGGCTCAGGTGAGAACATCCAAGATAGCTATCCTGGGCTACATACATAGACCGTTTCTTTTTTTTCTTTCTTTTTGAGACGGTCTCTCTGTAGCCCCAGCTGACCTGGAACTCACTATGCAGACCAGGCTGACCTTGAACTCAACAGAGGTCTGCCTGTCTCTGCCTCCTGAGTGCTGGGATTAAAAGTGTGGGCCACCACGTCAGGCACATAGACCTTTTCAAAAAACCAGAAAACAAGGCTGGACTTGGTGTTGCACACCTTCAGTCCCAGCACTGGGAGGCAGAGGCAGGCAGATCTGGGAGTTCCAGGCCAGCCTGGTCTACACAGTGAGTTCCAGGACAGCCGGGGCTACAGGGAGACCCTGTCTCAAAAAGACAAAAACAAACAAAAACCCACTGGAAATGTTAAGAGAAAATTAGTCTGCAGTTTATGCAAATTAGGCTATGGAAAATTAACAAAGTTGGCATTCGTGGCAGAAGTCATTGGAAAAGAGACTGGGTACTGCCCCCTTCCCCCAGTACTAACAGCCTGCTTGTGCGGCACATGCCTGGGGTCCCAGCTCCGAGAAACGGAAGCTTACTGACTACGGTACGATGTGTGCTGTGCCGCTGGCCATCTGCCAGCCTTGCTCCATTGTGAAGTGTGCTCGCTGCCCTGCCTCAGCGAAGGACACCAGCAGAGTTCCAGGCCTGACGACGCTTCCCTTCCTTGCAGAACAGAGAGTGGAAGATGTCCGGCTCATCCGAGAGCAGCACCCCACCAAGATCCCGGTAGGTCTTTGCTGGCCCCCGGGGGTGCTGGTCCTGCCCACAGGAGTCGGTGACCCCCACATACCTCACTGGACAGGTCACCGGGAGCCCTTGTTCATCGTGCTTCATGTTCTGGGTGGCAGCACTGTCCTGCTCAGCTTTGCTCCGAATCTGAACTCGAGTCCCTCGTGCATGTCACTGTAATCATGAAGGACCGAGGGACAGGTGGGTGTGTGAGGTGCTGGGTTTGTACCCGGGCACTGAGCTCCACTCCAGCCCACTATTCTGTTGTGCCAGAGGAGCCAAGGGTGACTGCTGAGGACATCGGTGGCTCTCGGGGTGTAACCCGACTGGAGGTGCTCCCGAGGGCCTCTGCCGAAGACAGGGTACTGCTCAGTGTCGCCTCTGAAGCCTCAGCCTTACTGAGGATCTGATTGGCAGCCATCAGCATCCCCTAGGCTGTCCGCCCTGGTGGTGGGCTTACACAGACTGAGGTGTGAGGTCTGGAACAGACAGGCTGACTTTGACCTAGGCTATAGGTGGTTAAGTGTTGTTCATCAGCTTATTACTAAAATTATGAGACGATTCCAGGGCGGTAGTACTTTAGAACCAGAAGCAGACCCAGCCCCTGTGGTAGTTGCAAGATTTTCATGATGTGGGGCCCATGGAAGCCACCTAGTGTCAGCTGGTATCACTTCCCATCTCTGCCCTCACTTGGAAAGGGCCTCCACCCTGGCCTCACGGGGCTGTCCATCCGGTTCATTCCATTCTGAGGGGACGGTGATAAGGACCCAAGGGGTTGGGGCTAGAGCTGCAGTGTGTGCTGCTGGTTGGCGGGTAGGACATGTCATTCCCCACACTGGACATTTCCCAGTCTGTCCTCATGTGAGGGTGAGGCATACCTGGAGCTTGCTTCCAGGGCAGGGCCCTCCGAGCAGCACCCTCCCCTTGTTGGGCTGGCCTCCCTTTGGCTCCTGTATCTGCCTGCTGGAAGCACAGCTGGACCAGTCTGCCAGTGTGCCCAGCTTCCCGTGGACTAGTCTCCACCCTCCGTGGCCCTCTCTGCTGTAGCCCTGGGTTCTTTGCAGAAACTCGCTGTTACTCTTACACACGCCTGTGACCAAGCAAGTCACAGCTGACTGTGGCTGGGTGCTGCTTGGTTAAGAAGATGGTCACAGCCTCTGGGGCTCCCAGTACTGCGGGCCAGGACCCTTGAGGGCAGAGGCTTCTTTCAGACCAGCTGCATTTTCTGCTGTGACTTACACATCTTCCTTCCCAAATTAAAGAGTAAAGGACAGACAACTCAAAACTGAAAAGTGAGCCGGCCGTGTTTAGGTGACTATGTCCTGGGCATTCCTGACAAGGGCGCAGGCCAGGCCCTTGGCCCCTTTTAGGAACAGTGCACTCCGGAAGGCTTCAGGCAGGCACCCAGGATGCCCAGTCCCATCCTTCCTACAGAAACATGCTGAGCTCACAGGCCCCTCTCATTCCCTCACTCCTGGGCTAAAGCTCTGCTGCCCCATAAACAGGTTTGGCGTCCGCACTGGCTTCCGTGGGCTGCTTCTCGGTCTTGGCCAGGACAGGGACGGCTGCTTGAGATGCCTTCCAAGAAACTGTGTGTAGCTCACATCTGTGGACCGTGTGCAGACACACTCCCCGTCCTGAAGCACGTAGATGGCCTGCCCTACCATTAATCTGCTGTGCCGGGTGGGAGTTTCTTAGCAGGTGCATCTGGTGCTGGGGACGCAGTGACGCTGAGGCACAGATGCCCCTGTGCTCAGGTTTTGTGGCAGCTTTTCTTGTTTTGCTGCCTCTTTTTTCCTTTGTCTTTCTGAGACAGGGTCTCCTTGTAACCCCAGCTGGCCTGGAACTCACTGTGTAGACCAGGCTGGCCTGGAACTCATAGAGATCTGCCTGCCTCTGCCTCCCGAGTGCTGGGATGAAAGGTGTGCGCCACCACACCCGGCCTCTTGTTTTGCTACTTTTTTTTTTTTGTTGTTTGTTTTTTTTAATTTTATGTGTATGAATGTATTGCCTGTATGTATGTGAGTGCGTGCACCCATGTCATGGAGGTCAGAAGGAGGCTTTGGATTCCCCTGGAACTGGAGTTAAGGACAGTTCATAGCTGCCATGTGGGTGCTGGGAATCGAACCTGGGTCCTCTGCAACAGCAGTCAGTGCTCTTAACCACTGAGCCATCTCTCCAGCCCTTGTTTTGCTTTTTGAAACAGGTCTCTATGATCCAGGCTGGCCTTGAATGCCAGGCAGTTCACAGCACTGTACTCCAAGTGCTGGGCGTACAGACATGTGCCACCACACTGACTTTATGCCATGCTGGGGGTTGTGCCAGCGCTCCCTGCATGCTGGGGTCATGGCCCAGTCTTACATGTAGCCCACATGGTCTCAAGCCGCCATCTTCCTGCCTCTGCCTGTCGGCTTCGGTGCTGTTGTGCATTTTTGGTGCTTTGTTTTGGGGTGCTGAGGACTGAACACGGCTCTGAGCATGTTAGGCAACCACTTGCACATATCATTGTGGAACAGCACAGAATTAGAAGCTTTTTTTTATTTTGGCAGCTTATTTTATATGTATGACTATATTGGCTGCATGTAGGTAGGTGCAGTGCCCTTTAAGGTCAGAAGAGGGCGTCGGATCCCATGGAACTGGAGTTATGGACAACTGTTAGCCATCATGTGGGTGCTGGGAATTGAACCCCGGTTCTCTGCAAGAGCAGCCCGTGCTCTGACCACTGAGCTGTCTCTTCAGCTCTTCTTAAAATACCATCAAGTCCTTCTACACCTGTTTAGTCTTAGAACCAGAGAACTGTGGTGTTGGCCAGCTTGTGAGATGGTCGCTTACATTTCTTCTGCCTGCTGAAGGAAGGGCTTTGAAAAGGGGAAGACAGCACGCTCCCAGAACTGGAGCCCACAAGCCAGGCATGCAGCGTAGCTGTAGTCCTGGCAGTTGGGAGGCTGGGCAGGAGGGGCATGAGCTGGAGGCTGACGCTAAGACCTTGTCCTGAAGAGAGAGACTTGTCTTTTATTGGAAGCCGTCTCTCCATCGCTATGGCAAAGCACCCTGACCACTACCAACCTGGGGAGGAAAGGGTTTATTTAACTTACATCTCCTGGGTCACAGTTCATCAGGGAGCTCAAGGTCGGAACTCAGGGCAGGAACCTGGAGGCAGGAGCTGGAGCACAGGCCATGGAGGAACACTGCTTACTGGCTTGCTCCCCTGGCCCCTGCTCAGCCTGCTTATGCAACACAGGCCCACCTGCCCAGGGGCGGCACCACCTGCAGTGGGCTGGGTCCTCCCACATCACTCAGGAAGATGCCTCAGGCCTCAGGCCAGTCCAATAGAGGCAATTCCCCAACTGAGGCTCCTCAACCCAGGTGTGTCAGGTTGACACTAAAGCACCCAGCACAGAAGCCATGCACCTGCCCTGTTGAAGGAAGTAGCAATGTTGATTTGTTTGGTTTTTGAGACAGGGCCTGAGAGTCTGGGCTGCTCTTGGTCTCCTGTCCTCCAGCCACTTGGTTCCGAATGCTGCAATTACAGCACATGCTGCCATGTCCCTTGTAATGGGACCTCAGTGCTTGGAGCTGTTCACAGCCTCTGCTCCTGTGGCATGGGCTCTGTCCTGATAGGGAATAACTTGATTGGTCCCAGTTCAAACAACTCAAGGACACAGCCTGCTTGCCTGGTGGTGGCTGTTACCTCTCCTGTGCCACGTTCTGTCTGGGATGGTGGCACAGCTGTGAGTCAGCACTAGTCACAGGAGCACCATGGGAAGCCGAGGACTGGCCCTTGGCAGCCACAGCGTGGGAAGTGGTGTATGTCTGGCAGTTAGCTGTGCCTGTCCTGAAGTCACTTCTGGTCTCTCTAGGTGATCATAGAACGATACAAGGGGGAGAAGCAGCTGCCTGTCCTGGATAAAACCAAGTTCCTGGTGCCTGACCACGTCAACATGAGTGAGCTCATCAAGATAATCAGGTACTCGGCCGCCTCCTGGGTCACTTGTTCAGTAGCATTGCTTCACCCGGCCTGCTGGCACCTCCTAAATCTTGAAGTTTCCTTTCTCTAGGCCTCAGGTCCCTCTCGGTTCTTTCATGCCCCTGTAAGTCAGGCACGTCCACCCTGTAGCCACATGTATCTATATCCCCTGCCCCCAACTACAAATGTGGAATGTGGTCTAGTATGGTTTTTGTTTCTTTTTTCTTTTCTTTTTTGTCTTTTTGAGACAGGGTCCCCTGGTAGCCCCACCTGGCCTGGCAGTTACTATGTAGACCAGGCTGACCTCGAACTCACAGAGATCCGTCTGCCTCCGCCTCCCGAGTGCTGGGATTACAGGCTTGCGCCACCTCGCCTAGCTGGCCCAGAATGTTTGTAGATGACAGTATTGGTGTCAGACTGTCACCTCTATAAGGTGAGCTGGGTACTAAGGCCTGCCTGCAGTTCCACACATGGATGGTTGAGGCAGGAGGATTGCTGCTAGTTCAGGCCAGCATGGGCTACAGAGTAAGATCCTGCCATCCCCCAAAAGTAAGATAAAATGCTACAGGTTACTAAACTGCATCCCCCCCGCCAAAAAAAATCAGTAGAAGAATAAAGATGGTACGGCTCAGCAACTTGTATTGTTCCGAGTCTGGGCTTCGTGTACTGTGGGCATTTGAACAATGTCCCAGCTTGAGGAGGCGCCGTGTGATGGCGGTCATCAGTGACTGTGGTCATGGACGGACCGTCATTCGCTTTCTGAGAACTACACTGCTGCATTTGGCAAATCAGCATTGATAAGCCTCGTCGTGGTTAATGGTCAGGATGGGGTGGTTTCCTGTGCGTTCTGTGTGCTGTCTCCACACTGTCTTTCTTCTCCCGATAGAAGGCGCTTACAGCTCAACGCTAACCAGGCCTTCTTCCTCCTGGTGAATGGACACAGCATGGTGAGCGTGTCCACGCCCATCTCCGAGGTGTATGAGAGCGAGAAGGATGAAGACGGCTTCCTGTACATGGTGTACGCTTCCCAGGAGACGTTTGGAGAGAGCTGGGCTGTGTAAGACTCAGCAGTATCTCAAGTTTTTAAACCTTACCAAGGAGTCAAAAGGGACATTACCAACTGAGGTCGGTCAGTTCGTCTCTCAGATCAGAATGTAGGTGCCCACCTAGGGTGTTAGGAATTGTTTGTTATGTCAGCCAGAAAAACTGAGCTCCACATGAGTGCTTTAAGCTTTGGAAAACTCATTTAACCTAGGCTACCTTGTTCTCAAATTTTAGAAGTTTAAAAATAAAATACTTTGCATCTTGAGTTGCGAATAAAACAGACCTTCAAGTTATTTTTGATGCTTTTCTGCCCCAGGAGAGGCTTGCCATGGGGCAGCAGCGTCAGGGCGCAGGCAGTTTCCCGGAGCCTGCCGCCGGCTCACAGAACGGCTTCCACTCAGCTTGGGCTCTCCCTCAGCGGGTCTCTCAGCTCCGCTGTCTAGCAGAGCCCACCCCCTACCCCCAGATGCCTCTGGCTTTGCACAAAACAGGGTCAGGATGTGTAAGAACATGGCTCTGAGGGCCCCTCTCCTGACCCCTAGCTCCGTCCCACCAGGTCCACCCTCAGCAGACTGAGAAACTGTCACTTGGGTGCTGTCTACATGGTAGCCACAGGCCAGGACTGCTGCTTAGCTGGAAATTCCAACCTTGAATAAAGGGTCATTGGTCCAGCTTAGGAGGAAGAGCAAAAGTGCTTTGTTCTAGGTTGGATTTCCTCCTGTCCATGCTTACTTCGATGAAGGGGCAAGTTAGGTGTGCAGTGCGGCCCTGAGTGTACCACGGGGACATCCAGGTGGCAAGTCGGCACCGACGTTGAGACGCATCTCTCTGCCACTGGGCTTGCAGCTGTAGATATGTTTTTGTGTTTGGTGGCATGCCTGCTGTCACGTGTTCTAACCCTTCCTTGTCAGACAGCTGTGGGCATTCCCCCACCTCGAGTGTCAGCTGTGAAGAAAACAGTAACTCCGGCTCTTGACGGGTATTCATGCCCAGGTCCAGTTGGACCTGGCCGCTGGCCACTGATGCTCTGACCCACAGTGCATCAGACTGTCTGTGCAGCAGGTCCATCACCCTTTGGGGTCTGGGTCTGTGAACTACCTGCTGTCACAGGGGAAGCAGCACAACAGCCTCCAAACCCAGCTCTTCTGGGACCCCCTCACCCTGCATGCACCTGTCCATTCGCTGCCGTTAATGGTGTTTTTACATTATGTAAGTTCTCATCCAGCCTGTCTTGTACAGATTGTATGTGTCATATCTAAGGTCCTTGTAAACTATGGTTATGTTCAGTAAGAGTCCTGTAATACTGCTCTTAAACAATAAAAAGCCACGCGGAGAGGGGTGACTGACTGTAGGGTTATCAATGCACTAAGTAGATAAAGGCACAACTGAAATGTCCTGAGACACTTCATGGGGTTGGCAGGGGAACTGCGCCTGGAGTCAGGAAGGTCCCCACCTCATTGCTGCACCTGCCTCTCTGGCCAATGTCCTGCCACTAGCTCTGAATTCTCTTGAACTGGCCAACGTGCCTGTGTCCAGGTGGAGATAGGCCGGGGTGCTGTGGGCTACTAGGTGGCCTGATACCAGCATGGTAGACACCAGGGGAGGAGTGTGACCAAGGCTTTACCTGTGTGGACAGCTCTAGGCACTCAGCCCAGACAGTGCCCAGCACTGGACCCTACTCGGATGTGAGCAGGCACCGCAGAGCTGCTTCAGGGAGGTGGAGTCCCCCGAACCAGCCCAGAAGCCCCTGCACGAGATTTGTGGGTGTTCTGCTCAAAGGAGACCCATTTGGATCTCAAGGGCATGGGGGCTGATGCTGTCAGTGCAGCTCTACCTCGTGGCAGCCCTCGGTGGAAATGGTGCTTGGTTGCCCTTGGGGCAGTGCCGTCATCGGGTCCCCTTAAGGGGCTGCTCCCTTCCTAGACAGGGCAGGCTGTGTCACACCCCAGGTTCTGTGGTCAAGGAACCTGCAGCTGAACTAGAACCCCGTCAAGAGTTCTCTCAGTGAGGACACATTCAAAAGCCGTGGACCAAGACAGGGAGCGTGTGGAAGGCCCAGGGCCTTGAATCAGGGAGGAGAGGACTGGGCGGGAAAGCACACTGGCCTCCCACTCCCAGAAGACCTGATGGTGACATTGAGGTTTTTTTTTTTTTTCATTTTTATTTTCAGTACATTAAATTTACTCATAAAAACATTCTAAAAATGTACAATTTTTCCTTTTTAACAAAGTATAATAAAACATAAAAACCCCAAAAACAATACTTGACATTTACAATTCAAAATCAAATTAGCAGAATATTAAATATTTACAAAACTATATCTTTTAAAAATATTTATAAAGTTACATGCAATTTTGTAGAATTGACAAAAGAATGGCTCAAAAGTGGGAGAATTTTCCTTCATTCCTAAAAAGCAGAGAAGCCCAGTAGAAGCTGTGAGGGTCTCAGTCTTGGTACCAACACGTCCTGTGTGCGTGAGAACCGGCCTGTGTGGAGGGCTGGGGCCGGCCACTGCCCCCGCCCCGCCCCCAAGCAGGGTAGCCACCTGGACCCAGCCACGGCCAGCACAGTATGTGGTTTTCTAAAGTATTGCCGAGTGTTGACTAAAGATGCCCATGTTCATTCGGCCCCTTGGGACAGGTCAACAGTCCAGCCTCCGTGGATCCCGTGGCTTCCTGGGCCACCAGACTCGCTCTGGGGAGTCATATGTACTTTGGAAAGGCAGCTGTCCCTGCTCAGGTTCCCCAGGACCATCCTCAGGGATGAATGAGGCTGGGCGGGACAACAGACACCCTTACAACCTTTCAGAGGTCAGCAGGTAATGCCACAGGCCAGCAGGGCTAGCAGGTTGTACAACTAGAGCGCATCAGACCAAACACCAGAAAGCGGGAAGTGACGGAGGGGGAGGACTGGGGGGGTGGACAACCCAGTTCCCTTGGGTCAGGAGTGGAAGCCTGGGTAGCCTGGGCTCACGAGGGCTGTGTGGCGTGTGTGGGCAAAGGTACCACCATTGTGTCGCCGCCTCAGCACGTCCGTGTGGTGTGAACCAGGCCAACTTGCAGGAAAGGACTAGAGTCTAACTATGGAGTAAAACACGGAAGCTTCCGACTACAAACAAGCCGACTGCTGTCATCGCGGGGAGATGACAGCTGCTGCTGGTTTTCCAGTACCCAACTGTATGTGTTCAAGAAACGACTCGGTGGTGTAAGTGCTAGCTCCCAGTTTCTCAGTGCTCTTCAGCAATTAGGAGTTTTAGCATTAAAGCACTTTCCAATTTTCAGTATTTACTGTGAAATAAAAATTAGGAAGGTAGAAGCTTTGAGTATTTTGTTTCAACAACCAGGTTAAACGGCTGCACTGTCCGCTGTGCTCTCCGATCTGAACACCCCACTCTCATCCTGGAGATGGAAACATGGTTAGGAACACATGACAGCTACAGAGCGGAGGCGGGCCAGGGCCAGAGCCCGGGTGCCACAGCCTTCTGACACTGAGCAGTTTCAGGAAGATGACTGGAAAGGGCTGGTATGTTCTTTTTAACCGACCGAGTCAGGAAATACAAGGTGCTCGCCAGGCTTAACTGACTTTGGCTGCTCGGAGAAACTCACAATACTGCTGGCAAACATTCTCAGGCAGCTCGAGGGACTCACGCAGTGGACCTCGCAGACAGATCTGGCTCTGTGCGGCGCGTTGCGTGTTTACATCTTGATGAAGCCGGCACAGCACACAAGCGCTTTCATAAAGAGGCCGCAGGAGGTTTCCAAACACAGACCTCCACGGATGAACAGCTGAACCGGTCAGTACGCCCCCCTTGGCTCCAATGCCACACTTCAAATGGAAGTTTCCGCTGGAGACTTCTGTTGTCTTTCAGGTTAACAAAATAGGTAACAACAGACACTTCCATTCTCTACACTGACTACAACAAAAAACTTAAGTACGGTATTTTTCTTTTGCTATGAGACAGTTTTCAACAATTTCACTGTGTTGAAATAGGATTTATTTAAAATATTTCTTTGTTTAAAAAACCAAAAAAATTTAAAAGTTTGGCTTTCAGCACATATCCAGGCCCCTGTAACGGGCTTCAGAAATATTAAAATCGTAAACATCAATGAACACTCTAAGTCTTCCTTATTAACATAAACGACAAATTCCAGTCTGGTACTCTTTAAGGCAAAGTTGTGTCAGTTCTTGTTACGTGACATTTGTAGTGTTTGTAAGTAAAAGATAACAGAACACCCCAGCTGCGGCTGCAGCTCACGTCACCATCACCTCAGACCTGGACGTGATACTGAGCAGAGAACACAGGTCTGTCAGTTCTGCATTGCATAGAGATGAGAACTACCACACAACACGACAGAACTCCCCTAACCCGCCATGAACGTGTAGCAGCTGTCTTTGTTCCCACCAAGTCAGGAAACCGACCGCAGAGTCTGAAGCCTTGCACCACAATGCCTCCGACGCTAGGCTAGTTTTCGATTTACACAATTCAGTCCCAGCTGGAGGATGGTCTGACTACTGTGATTTTCTTCTCCATAAATACGCAACTGGAAAATCCTTGGCAAGACGTTCAGTACCAATCAGCATTTTAATAGTGAAGCCTTCAGCATTTTAAATAACGTTATCTGAGCAGAAAATTCCCTTTAACCTTGAAGGGCTAAGTCCCCAAATTTCAGATGAAAATGCTTTTGTTCTGGTGGCCTGAAGTGTAGAAGCCCCAGTGAGGACTGAATCCTCTGCAGAGTGAGGCCTCCCAGGCCTGGGCTGTGTCTGGCGAGTGCTCCCCAGGCCTTGCGTCTCTCTACTGGAGTTTTCCAGGCAATTTTAACGGAATTAACTATCAATACAGAGCCTAATACAGAGGACACTGACAGGAGAAAGTCACAGGACTGTATTACTGTTGAACCGTCTGTCTCGAGGGTGACTCCGTCAGCAGTAAGCTCTGGGGTAGGATCCCGGGGAAGCTGTGTGATTCGTGACAGCCAGCTTCCTGAAGGACAGAGTATCCGCCAACTCACAAAGTCGTGGTTCCTGTGTTTGGGGAGCTGGTTCTTGGTGGAGAGAACAGGCTCTGAGCCACCAACAGGTGGGGTTGTGATCTCAACCCTCAGCGACTGGCTTACCTGGGACTTGGACCCTTAGAAACAAAGTTGTTGAGAGTGAACTAGTTCTATTTATTAACAGAGTGGGAATTTGTTTTCAGGAAAAAAAAAAAAAAAAAAGCATTAAAACCCTGGAACTGCCTGCACGTGTCTGTCATGTACTAAGCCCAGCAGCCTGCTGATGCCCACCCCAGACGCCTGTGGCTGGAGGCTTTTGTGCTCAGGTCTCGGCCGAGTCTGCCTCCCAGACTGCAGAGGTCTTCTATAGTGCAATCCTAAGAATCCCAGAGATCAGTGCCTTATCACTTTAGCAAAACAGAACAAAACCAAGATGACGTTTTCCTAGCCCAGGGGTGTCTTGGATCCGACTGGGGGGAACACCACTTGAGAGAGCTCCGACCTGCAGTCTCGACTCAGGTCATGCGTAGCTGCCCCGGAATTGTGTGAGTCTAGAAGGCCCAGCAACGCAATGCTTCGAGATGCGATGCTGCGGCAGACAGAGGTCTCCATGCTGCAGCAGGGTGTGAGGGTCAAGTCACCTGCTGTGGAAGTCTTCTCTAGGCAAGTCCTGACGTCAAGCTCCAAACTAGGATTTTGGCAATAAAATCGAGTCTGATGCACATCTATGCTGGATCCTCTATCCAGTCTAGTGGAGTAAAGCACCTTTGGGTTAAGAATAGTGAGCTCCACAGCACGACCCAGTCAGTCCTGTGTGACTTCCCTAGGCCTCCATGGCTTAACAAGGTTCTGTTGCCAGAGAAAAGCATCAGTCTGTGGAGTCCAGACTTTCTGCAGGAGGGGCATATTTCAACCTGAACGTTCCTGGAGAGACAGAAGCAGGGGAAGCGTGAGTCAGTGCATGTGCAGACAACGGCAGCCCTGCCCCCGCCAGCATCGTCCTCAGGACCACCACCCCCACCCCACAGCTGGATGTTACTGGTTTCTAAGACCTAGAACAGCACAACCTGTTCTCCATGCCCCCACGGGCTCCTTCTCTGGACCTGGACCCTGTGCACAGGCTGGCCAGGACACACCTGGATGTGGGCAGGTGAGGCCTGGACTCAGGAGATGCAGGCCAGCTCTGGGAAGGGAGGCAGGCTTGGGTAGCCCCCCTCCCCTTTCCGCCACTGGACCTCCAGTCACAGGTGCTGGCTTCTAAAGGCTCTCCAGGTGGAGGACCACAGGCTGCCAAGTACACACATGGGGACTCCTCAGGGCTGCACACGGAAAGGCAGTACGGGGCCGACCTGGCAACCCCTACTGTAATTTTTCCAAACAAACAGCAAAAGTCACCCCAGTAAGCCAGGTGTGTGGACACACTAACACTCCCAGCTAAGACAGGAGGAACCCAAGTTCAAAGCCAGCTAAAGACACAGGAATAAACATGTAATACAGTAGACGCTCACATTTGACCAACAGACATGAAAACAGGGAGAAGAGCCCCGAACATCCACCATCTGCCACAGGGTGGCAGCAGTCAGTGTTGTTAGAGTCCATCTGCCAGTGGCTGTCTAGAACAAGGAGCATCGCAAGTGCCATTCTTAGAGCACAGGACCCCACCCCCACCCCCACCCGGGACTTCCCTGGCCAACATTTCCAGGAGCTTTCCTCAAGTACCACTGGCTTTAAAAAGAAGTTCACTATGCTCATAAAGCCGCCTGTGCATTACTACTGAGAGCAGGCATGGGGCCTAAAGGGCGCCAGGCCACCCCCATGCTTACCTTGCCGGTTGAAGTCCATGGACGGCTGCTTGCAGTCCTGGGCGCGGTGGCCAGTAGCCCCGCAGTTGTAACAGGACAGATTCCCGCTCTTCTTGTGACTGGAACCATTGGTGCCGCCCACCAGGCCTTGGGCTTGGTACACCCCTGCTGTGCCAGCCATGAAGTTCTGCATTGGTGGCACTGCAAATGTGGACTGCCCACCCAGGACAGGGTCTGGAGTCACGCTGCCGCTGTAGGGGGCATGCACGACAGGAAAGGCAGAGCCGCCGCCATACTGCTGGGTACTGACGTAGCCATTGCTGCACATGGGGCTGAAGGGCAGGAAGGGGAAGGTAAACATGGACGGCCCAGAGAACGGGTGCTGGAAGTAGTTGGCGTAGCTGACGGTCAGGCCGCTGGAGCCACAGCTGCCGCTGCACCCACAGGATGTGCACACGATGCAGCCAGGTGGGGGCGGCGCAGGCTGTGGGGGCGCGGGGGGCTGCGGGTGGTGGTGGTGGTGGTGGTGGCTCTGACCGGAGGCGGGAATGTTGCCTGTGGAGCTGCTGCCAGTACCACCACTGTAGAAGCTGCTTTCGGGGACCGAGGAGAGGGCGGGGCTGGAGCTGGGGGCCGGGCAGCTGGGCAGCGAGGCCATACTCGCAAAAGACGTGGCGGGGTGGCTGCTGGGGGAGGCAGTGCTGCTGCTGGCGCAGAAGCTGGCCTGCAGCGGCCCCACGGGCACGCTGCTCACTGCAGAGAAGGCAACTTTGGTGTTGGCTGTGTACAGAGCAGTCCGGGGGTTGATTATTGCGGGGGGCACACTGATGGGCCCACTGTTCGGGCAGGAAGTCTGCCCAGAGATGGCAGCATCCGCAGGGACGGAGGAGGACAGCAGCAGCTTGATGGGTGGCCGGGCCACGTGCAAGACAGTGCTCGGTGTCCCTGTGACGGCTGAGCTGGTCTCCACGGCCAGGGCCGGCTGCTGTGCCGTCTTCAGTACCCTGTCCAGTGTGGCTGCATGTACGACTTTGGCCCGGGGCCCAAAGGAGACTGTGGGTGACACAGAGCTGTTTTCTGCGAGGCCTGAGAGGGCCTGCACTGGAGGGTGTGGTGCCGTGGAGGACAATGTGTCCAGCACAGCCCCACCGAAGCCCTTGTCCACTTTAGTGCCGCTCCTGGGGCCAGGCCCCTTGCTCCTCTCTTCCAGGGACAAAAGTGAGTGCACGGACGACGACAGGAGCTTCGTGTCTGCACCGCCTCTGTCCGACTTATGTGCGGAGCTCAGCATGCGCACAGGGGCCAGGTGAGAGGCTGCAGGCATCAACTGTGGGGGCAAGGGGTGGTGGCCTGCAGGGCTGGAGCCTGCCTCGTTCTGCACAGGAAGAACCTGAGCGGTGGGTCTGGCAGAGCCGGATGGGAAGTGAGTCAGCAGCATCACCGGCTTCTCCTTATCCGCACCCTCCACATGCATGTCCACACCTGGGGACGGGACAGAGTCAGCACTGCGTGCGCCCAGGTGGAGATTCAGCAGCATGGGCCACACACACACGGGTGTCTTACATCTGTCATACACACACACACACGCGGGTGTCTTAAGTCTGTCATACACACACACACACACACACACACACACACACACGGGTGTCTTACGTCTGCCATACACACACACACGCGCGGGTGTCTTAAGTCTGTCATACACACACACACACACGGGTGTCTTACGTCTGCCATACATACACACACACACACACACACACACACACACGGGTGTCTTACATCTGTCATACACACACACACACGGATGTCTTACGTCTGCCATACACACACACACACGCACACACACACACACACACACACACACACACACGGGTGTCTTACATCTGTCATACACACACACACACGGATGTCTTACGTCTGCCATACACACACACACACGCACACACACACACACACACACACACACACACACGGGTGTCTTACATCTGTCATACACACACACACACGGATGTCTTACGTCTGCCATACACACACACACACGCACACACACACACACACACACACACACACGCGGGTGTCTTACGTCTGTCGTTCTCCTCGGCGCTGTCTGAGCTCTCCTCTCGTACCTGCACGCCCATGGGGCTGGAGGAGGAGCTGGAGTACTCGGAGGAGCTGCCTTCCCGGGGAAGCTGGTGAGCCGGGGGCTCCACCTCCACCCGCAGCTCTGCGGAGAAGGCAGCACAGGTCAACAGCTGATGTGGCACTTACGCACATGCAGGAGAGCTGCCAGCTACCACCCATGTCTTCTTGACCACCCCTGGCCATGGGCCCTTTGGGCAGAGGAAGCGGGGGACCCCAGCCCTGGTCGGATTGGGCTCATTCTTGAAAACTGCACCAACTCCCCAAGGCCTGTAGTAGTGGAAGATCACAGGATGCTTGCTACTCAGGCTAGTGCACTTGCCGCCCAATGCCAGGTCACCGTCGGGCACCCCACCCACCCTGAAGAGTGCGGAACCATCTGTAGAACGGCACTGTGCTGTCTGCCCTCGAAGTCACCCATGGCACAGGCTGAGTGGCCATCTGACATTTGTCTCTTCCTGGTTTGCCCCTACTCTGTCTACTGCTGTTGAATACAACAACACTCATTTCTTCCTGTGGGATGAGACAGCCACCACCTCAGGTGTCCGCAGCCTGTTCCCTAGGACAGGGACGGGAAAGACAGGAAAGCCAGCAGAGGTTGGCAGGAAGAGGAGCCAAGGGCCACAGCCCATGACGGGCACCTGCCTAGGAAAAGGAACTCAGTCCCTCTCTGGTTTGAACTCTGCTTGCTCCCACAACACGAGAATCTAACACTGCTGTCCAAATCACCAGAGGCCAGGCAGCCAGCCCACATGTCCCATCTACTTTCCTGCACCAGACACGGCAGAGTCAGGACAAAGAGCTAAGGGTGAGGACTGCAGTGTCTAAACAGCCCCGAGTGATCCCAAGTCTAATTCTTACTTAAAACATGTCACACCAGCCGAGTACAAGCCACACACTGAACTACAGGCCCTCACATACCTGCAGCATGGCTGCTGCGCCCGGGCTGCACAGGCCCCACGTGGCTGGTTGGGGGGACTCGGGCCACTCCACTGCTGCTGACTAAGGATGGGGCTGAGGCGTTCAGGCACCGTCTCTCCGACTTCTCCCTGTGAAAGGAGAGACAGCATGGCGTCAGAAAGCACCACCCCCTCCACACTCTGCTGCAAGCACAGGATGCGTACGCTACCACGCCTGGCATGGACACGTATTTTGAGAACAGTTTCATACTTACTTTTCCAGCTCCAACTGAGTCTTGAGCTTTTTCTTTGCACCCATGGTGAGGGACTCAAATTTATTCAGATCTTCTTCAGTAAGGCTCAAAAACTTGCATAGGAGAAATGAAAGACTGTTACTGAGAAGTGGAAGACATGCAAAGAGCTCAGAGCTGATCCCAACACAGAAGATCCACTGCTCCCTGCTGCAGCCTCTCTGGACACCTCGGGTGCAGCTGGCCAGCAGGCATCCTGCAGCCGGTGACTACAGGAGCTGACAGCCTCAACTACAGCTCTACAACTAACAGCAGTCTGTCCTCTGGAAACGTCTCATTGGAACACAGCTGCCTTAAGACAATTCTCTGTAAAATCCCTTCAGCAACCCGGTGAGGTGCAAATGGGAAGAAGGTACAATCCAGAGGGAGTGGTGACTGACCCCAGGCCTGGTGCATGGGACACCTGACCGGAGAGTGCTCACCACATCCCAGACGCCGTGGCTCATCTATCTGACTGGAAAATCCAAACCCATTATGACCAGTCTTAGTAAAAACTTCTCATCCTCGAGATTTAGAGACCCCAAGTTGAGGCATTGCGAACGGACTTGAGATGCACTTTCCGCTGCTCTGTAAAAGCGTCATTTCTAGATTTAACAGGGCATTTACAGGACTTAGGTAGCATCTTGTCCAGCAGGGGAGTTCAGATTTCAAACTCCTGGTGTGGTTTCTTTCAGCACAGCCACCAACAGCAAGGCCAGAAAGCGTTCAGGCAGGCCTGTCTTGGCGGGCACCCTCTCCGAGCAGGTGTTCTCCATTCCTGCGGGTCTCACTGTTCAGTACGGCCTGACCGTCTGAACCCTACTCCACTGTGTCCTGGGGTTGGCCCTGTGAACTGGCCACACCCAGGCAGGAGCCACACTGCAGGTGGTTTAGAAAGGAGCAGATGACCTCTAGACTGCCTGAGGGCTGAAACTTGCTCACTTCACAACTGCCTGGTTTGTAAAGATTCTGCTTTTGTCTGTTTCAGCTACAGGCGAGCCCTCGGGTGAGATCCAGGTCCTGCTAATACCAAGGTGAGTACACGTCACAGCATCTAAACCTGCCTGGCCTCTAGGAGTCCACGGGTGGTTTAGAAAGGAGCAGATGACCTCTAGACTGCCTGAGGGCTGAAACTTGCTCACTTCACAACTGCCTGGTTTGTAAAGATTCTGCTTTTGTCTGTTTCAGCTACAGGCGAGCCCTCGGGTGAGATCCAGGTCCTGCTAATACCAAGGTGAGTACACGTCACAGCATCTAAACCTGCCTGGCCTCTAGGAGTCCACGTGTCACAGCATCTAAACCTGCCTGGCCTCTAGGAGTCCACATGTCACAGCATCTAAACCTGCCTGACCCTCTAGGAGTCTACGTGTCACAGCATCTAAACCTGCCTGGCCAAGACAAAAGCTACTTGGGGACATGAAGCACACAGTGGCCCTCTGAGCAGTTGACGTACCTTCTCCATGGTTAGCTGTTTAAAGACGGGGTAATATTTGTGCAAACGCAGCTTCCTAAGCCAGTCTAGAATCCCATTCTGCTCCTGGGGCTGAGGGGCCTGCAGACTAGAGGGCATCAGGATGGCTGGCGAGGCGTCCACCTGGGTCCGGTAAGCCAGCGCTGAGCCCGCACCCCCCGCGTGAGAGCAGTGGGGCAGGGGAGTGGCAGTACTGGCCGAGTGCTGCAGGTGGTGCTGGGCGTTGCTCTGTGAGGATGGGATGCCGGCCACTCCACACACAGGCCTGCAGGATGGGACAGGTGGGAACAGAAACCATTGTGGAAGCCTGCAGCTATACTGGGGTCTGCCAGGGGCTGTACCAGGATCTTTGGGGATATCTCATGCCAGCACCCACTCCCCCTGTACAGGGTGCAGCCCACCACATACGCTAAGCTCGTCAGGGCCCTGTTTACTACTGCACCACCAGGACCTCCCTCCTCGTAGCACAGAGCCCCCGGGGATGCTGCTGTGCCCACATGCCATCCACGAGAGGTCTGGCTGGGCGGCCCAGATGACACCCATAGATGGTGAGTTCAAACACACTGCTCTGAACTGGGAGGAAACCATAGAACCGGAAAAGCCAAAAGTTCATTCTTTCTACCCAATTCCTCTCCTGATGTTGCCTGAGACGCAGGCGGGGCAGACAGTTCTGAGAGCAGCTCTGCACACATGCTACGTACACACCACACATGGGCGAGGGCAGTGTGAAGTCTGGCTAGAGGGCTGCTCACCTTCCAGACACGCCCATCATCGTACTGACTTTAGGAGGGGAAGGGTTACCAGGACCTACAGAAGAAGAAAGGCGTCATAGAAACGTGGAGAAAAGAACGTATCTTTATTTTTATTTACTTTTAAAATTAAGTGTGTGTTTGTGTGTCTGTGCACACGAATGTGGGTGCCCTTGGACACCAGAGTGCTCAGATGCCTGGAGCTGGGGTCAGAGGTGGCTGTGAGCTGCCTGGCCTGAGTCTTGGGAACTGAACTTCCATAAGGAGTCTTCTGTAAGAGCAACATTGCACTTGACCACCGAGTCGTCTCTCCAGCCCTCCGTTTGCAGTTTCAACCATCTCGCAAACTTACTTGGACTTTGAAGCTGTTGGACAGGAGACGAAGTGCTGAAAAACTTCCTGACATGGTCATGTTTCAGGACGTGGGAAGGTATGGAGGCCAGGTACCTGGGGAGAAAGACACTGGGTTGTGGGGCTAAAGCACCATGGACAGAACTAACTGGGGAGAATTTGGAAATTTCAAGACAGAGAAATGAGAAAAGGAAAGAAAAGAAGCAGACGCCCAGAGCCTGGGACCCGCCTGCTGCCTTTCAATGGCGCCTTTCCCGCCAGGACCCCCTCTCTTACGGTGAGTTACGCAGGCCCTACAAGGACCCGTGGCACAAGCACTGGATCAAAATGTGGGAGCCCCGACGCCCGATGACTCGGATGCCCGAGTCAGCCGAACACAGGGTCACATCAGGACAGTCAGCTCAGGGCCAGGCAGAACCCCGGCCTCCTGCACATCAGCACCCACGCCAGACTGCGGTGCAGCGGTGGGCAGCACACTCGTCCAGCACAGTCTCGGCCTCCACCCCCAGCACCACATAAACCAGGAATGATATTCAAGCCATGCTCACTCTCAAACAAAACAAAGCAAAAAACAAGCAGCGAGCCTCAGCAGCACATGTACCATGTGTGCACAGACATGGACCAAAGAACATGTCCATCCTGACACAGCTTCGACCTTCAACCACACGACACAGGTGAATGCCAGGACCATCCACAACTCACAAGGGCATTAGGATCCCACCAGAGTAACACCAGCTTGATTCCTCTATTCACTCTCAAACTCACCCCAAGGTCATTAACATTCTTCAGACCCTCAGGAAACAGTCCTGGAGGCAACGGGCTCACACAGCCGAGTAGCCACACGGACCCTGTCCAGGAGCCTCACTCACCTCAGGCCTGCTTCCAGATCCATGTGGTTCCGCTCCACATAGAAGGAATCTGGGCCAGCCAAGCAAGGAAGGAGCTTGTCCAAGTTCTCCTCAGGGCAGAGCTGGCAGAGCTGAAAGAGACAAGGCAGGTCGTCCAGCAGCAACCAGTGCTCACCTCACTACCAGAGCTTTGCATTGGCGGAGGCGACATCTGCTGGTGGACACTGCACTGCTCCAGCTGTGGGGGCTCTACACACGCAGGACGCCCCACTTCAGCAGAGGAACCCCACCTTTCCCAAGTCCAGCATAGGCTGAGCTGCAGGGCCAGTTCCTGACCAGAGACCTAATGGGAACCAGCCCTCCCAGAAAGCCAGGACCTGTGATGCCATACCATGGCTGGCACACATGGCAGAGATGGCTGCATCCCCCAGGCCACACGGCGGTCAGTATACAGACAGAGCCACCTTCGGGGGCACAAGTGCCCTGGGGACAGGTACAAACCCCTCGGGCCCCTGCCTCCAAGCCGAAAAAAAAAAAAAGGCCCAGTTTCTGAGGCAGGTTTTCCTACGTCTGCTCCCAGGTCACAGAAAAGAGCCAGTGCTCTGCTTGAAGGAGAAAAAGCAAACACTTTCTGGGGAAAAGACCCAGGACCCTGTCTCAAAGTGGAGGCAGGTACTACTCAGAGGGGCTAGACAGACTGTCCAACAGTAACACTGAGAACAGGGAAGAGACCACAGCGGACACACGGACTCTGAACAGTGACCCAGGCAGGGGTCACATTAGCTGTTGTAAACACAGATCAGAGAGCAGTGAGGGCCCAAGGTCCTATGGGCGGAAGTGAGTCCAGAGGAAACCCAGTGCTATGAGCAGAGTGTGATTGCTGAGGGGTTCCAACCCCAAAGGGCATGGTCCAGTGCTTCCAATGCCAAGGGGCCACGTGGAGAGTCTACAAGCCGCATGGGCTGTGGGAACACGTGTTCTCTCACAGGGTTTTGTAATTTTTTAATTATGTCTTCACTATTTATTTATTTATTTATTTATTTATTTATTTATTTATTTATTTGTCTTTTTGAGATGGTCTCTCTGAAGCTGGCCTGGAACTCACTATGTAGACCAGGCTGGCCTCAAACTCACAGAAATCCATCTGCCTCTGCCTCCCAAGTGCTGGGATCGAGGTGTGTGCCACCACGCCTGGCTATCTATCTTCACTTTTAAATTTTATTATTCTTTTGTGAATCATGGTCCACTCTGTAGCCAAGTTTAAGTCTGACCTTAAACTTAAAAAAAAAGAATTATTAAAAAAAAATTTTATTTGATGTAGCCGGGCGTGGTGGCGCACACCTTTAATGGCAGCACTCGGGAGACAGAGGCAGGCGGATCTCTGTGAGTTTGAGGCCAGCCTGGTCTACATAGTGAGTTCCAGGCCAGCTGGGGCCACAGGGAGACCCTGTCTCAAAAAGACAAAATAAAAAAGAAAAAAAAAATTATTTAATTTGTATGGATGTATTGCCTGCACGTGAGTGTGCCCACACATGAAATGACCAGAGGTCAGAAGAGGGTGTCAGATCCCCTGGAACTGGAGTTACAGACAGCCACCATATGGGTGCTGGGAACCAAACCCAGGTCCTCTGCAAGAGCAGCCAGTGCTCTTAACTGCTGAGCCACCTTCCAGCCTCTGACCTTAAACTTTTGATCCTTTTGCTTCAGTCTCTTTAGTGAGATCACAGGTGCACACCACCACCTTTTGGTTTGTGCGTGATTCTGTAATGAAGTACAAGACCCACTTTGGAGGCATCTTAGTGCACTGGTCTGTTAAGTGTGAGCATCTGAGATGCATATTTTGTCTGTGGCAGTGGTCACTGCTATGGTCTGAGCCAATGTACTTTTTTTTTTTTTTTTTTTTTGGTACTTTTGAGACAGGGTCTTCCTGCAGCCCCGACAGACCTGGAACTCACTATGTAGACCAGGCTGGATGCACCTACCTCTGCCTCCTACCTCTGCCTCCCAAGTGCTGGGACTAAAGGCGTGCACCACCACGTCTGGCTCCAGTGTACTTTTTTTTTACAGGGTCTCACTATGTTCCCTGGCTGGCCTGAAACCCTTTATGTAGACCAGACTGGCCTTGAACTCAGAGATCTGCCTGCTTCTGCCTCCCAAGTGCTTGGATTAGAGGCACACACCCAGCCTGGGCCAGTACTTTAAACATAATATGAATACATATGTGCACACACATGGTCCCACAGTTCAGAAACAGAGTCAAGGCTTGGGAGAGAAAGGTACCAAGAGCTGCGCAGAGGGCACGTCCCAGCCTCCCCAAGGATGTGCGCCCGGGCTTGGGTGTACACCTCTCAGAACAGATCTGGGAACTGCTGCCAGGTATGGCAGCTCAAGGAAGGGAGCCACTACATCAGTGCCGTGTGAGCCACCACCAGGGCATGTGACACTTTTCACCATTAGAAAAGCCCTTTAATTAACTTACCTTTGAAATAAATTCAGTCACTTCTGAGGAAGACTTGGTCACTGATGTTACTGAAGAATCAGACCAGAAGACCTTAAAAACAGACAAACAAGCCTTGAGAACCATGACACCAGGTACTTCAGAGCCCAGCACCCAGGACCCATAGCTGTTAACAAGCTGCCCAGTGAAGCCACAACTTGCTACGAAGAGAACAGTCACATGACCCAAGCCCATTGAGCTTCAGATACCAGTCCATTCCAGTACCACTGAGTCACTGGTACACGAGTTCAAGCACCGAGGGCTGGCCTCTACCCACCAGCTGCCTTCTCCCTGTAGCTAAGCCAAGTGATGCTGGTCACAGCATCAAGTTTCCAGATTCAGCTCTTCACCTGGAAGCAGGTTTCTGTGCCACACAGGTGAGGTAGCTGTGGCACCATGAGCCCAGGCCTCAGCCTGCAATCAAGATAAGTGTGGGGTAGAAATCCCAACAGTGGCCTAGAAGACGTCTTCCACAGAGGAGGGTTGCATGGGGTCAGAGGAGTCTGAGAGACATGCAGGGCTTGGAGACAGATGTGTGGCCCAGCTCACGCTGTGGTCTTCAGGCCGTGCTCTCCTGTCTTCTCTCCCTGATGGCAGCATGTGCCCTGCATGAGGCTAATGCAACCTGGATGCTCAGTGGTGGGGTGCTGTGCTGGAAGCAGCCTGCACCCATTAGGCCAGGGTGGGGCAGCACGTCTGCCTCAGCAGCTAGCATGCTGGGACAGCTTTCACAAAGCCAGAGCAAATGGAGAGAGGGCCATCTCTTCACCTTTTACTTCACAGTGAGTGGGGCCTATGACAGCGCTGAGCTTCCTGCTGGAGATGCCCCATCCATTGATGATGGGCTGGCCATGGCTTTCCAGGAACCCGGGAGCTGTGTGTCCTGTTCGCCCTAGCAGGTCCTCTGAGCTCTCTGCTGTGAGGAGTGTGTCCTCCATCCCTAACGGGCAGACACCTTGGTACTTCTATGTCTTCCAACAGCCCCACGGAGGCTGGGGTTCATGAGTTTAGCACACATCCACACTGAGACACCTCAATTCAAGGTGAAAACCTGAATCACCCAGAGCCTTGAGCAGAGACTGCTAGCAAGCTGAGTGCTCGCTGTGCCTCTGGCACCTGTTTCTAGCTCATCTTCTTCCACCAAGTGTCCCACTGGATGGATGCATCTAACTCAACAAAGGCATGAAATCCATAGTCAAACCAGGACAACAGGATGGTGTTGTTGAAAGTGGCAGCCAATCCCTGCCATGAGGGGACTGTGCCCTATGTGTGCTCCTGGGGTCCACAAGGCAGCCAGGATGCAGGATGGGGACTTAGCCTTGCTCCCAGGCCTCGGCACTCACGTTCAGTCCCCCACCCACTCATGCCATGGCTCAGGAAGCACAGAAGCAGCGTCTCCAGGCACCCACTCCAAGAGCTGCAGCGTCGTACGGAACCGACTTGAAACATCCCCTACACACGAAAAGCGACACACATGCAGGCGACACACAGGCTCGGGCCAGTTCCACACTTGGCTTCCCTTCCTATTTCCAAGCAGCACCTATGACTAGAACCCTCGGACAGCCAGACGCCTCACCCCATCAGCCAGGTGTGGCCAGATGGACCAGATGAAGCCCCAGCCACAGGACCTGCCCCAGCCCTGGAGACACTTGGCAGCAGGCGCCCAACTCACCCACCCAGCCCCTACGGAAGCCGAAGCCATCTAAGGAAAAGACCTGGAGGGCCAAGCACAGCCACGCACATTCTCAAGGTCTCAAAGAAGAGCTTGGCCAAGGTGATGGAGGCTGCTGAGTTGACGGGGGTTGGCAGCAGTCCGGCACAGTAGACAGCATGAGCCCCAAAGGGTGAACGAAGGAGACGGCACCAAGACTCTCAGAGATGTACAACTCTGGGCTGCAGAGGACCAGCCAAGGGTAAACAGAATGCACAGCTCTCAGGCTCCTGGGGAAAGCCATGGCTAGCCTGTCATCAACAGATGGGGCATCTCCAGAAGGAAGCATCAGCGCTGTCACAGGCCCGGTGCCCAGGACACCAGGGACTCTTCAAGTGGATGATCCACTCAAGACGGAAGCTCCCACCTGTAACCGCTGCACTTGGACAACTCCTGTAACCTCAGAGAGGACCAAGCCAGCCTGGGCTACACCGTAAGACCCTACCTCAAAACCAAAACCAACCAGTCAACCAACCAAACAAAAAGACAGCTCCAGGGAGCACAAGGATGGGTGAGAAAGGGGGAGGCAGGGCCCAGCACTGCTCTGGATGGCAGTGGGTGGTCCAGGTGTCCCCACACCTGGCTAGTTCAAGGTGCTCCTGGATGAAAGCACAAACTTCAAAGATAAGCTCCGACAGAACAGGCAACAGACCAACTGGGAGAGTGTATGGAGTGCAAACATACATCCCCGTGTACAGTTACAAACTAATCTTATATTAAAAATGTTCTACAATTTGCTTCCTTAACTGACTTGGCTCAAAACCAATTCCATGGAAAAAGCAGGTAACATCACCCCTGTCTGTAGCAGGTTAGTCTTAAAATCAGTGCGACCCAGTTACATCTTCACATAAAACAGGACCTTTTGCTCAGATGTTGGAAAATATCTACGGCCACCACCAGAGCTATGGTGAACAAGGTCAAGAGGACTGCAGACAGAGGCCCTGGGCTTCTCCCAAAGCACACAGAGCCCAAGGGACATGTGACTTCCTGACATGTCACTTCAGAAGTGACCAGTCCCCACAGCCAGGAGTTCCTACAGAAGCTCTGCCAGTGATGGAGGCACAGCAAGGTTGCAGTCGGCTGCCGCCCACAAAAGGCAACCACTGATTCTCACTAGTGAGGGATCTGTGGAGCTGTAGAGAAGGCTGACTCTCAAGCAACTTTTTAAAAGATTCTGAAGCCCAGTGTGATGAGCCACACTTGTGATCACAGCACTTGGGAGGATGAGACAGGAGGATGGCAATCTTTAAGCCAGCCTGGGCTACACAGCAAAACCTTAGAGCCCACCTCAGGAAGAGAATGTTCTGTTTGGATCTACAGTTAATGGGGAGCTGCATGTAGGGTGCAATCAGACCTTTCAGCAACTGCAAAGCCATCTCACACCAACCATCAGGACAGTGGGCAGGTCATCCGCAGCACCCCAACACCCAGTGCAGACCCCACCCTCTCCACGGAAGCTTTTGGCCTGCCCTCTGCACGATGGAGTAGTATTCCTTTGGCCTGCCCTCTGCACGATGGAGTAGTATTCCTTTGGCCTGCCCTCTGCACGATGGAGTAGTATTCCTTTGGCCTGCCCTCTGCACGATGGAGTAGTATTCCTTTGGCCTGCCCTCTGCACGATGGAGTAGTATTCTTTCGGCCTGCCCTCTGCACGATGGAGTAGTATTCTTTTGGGATTATTTGTTTGCTTTGGTGTTTTCTTGTTTTGTTTTTATTTTTTGTCTTTTTTGAGACAGGGGCTCCCTGTAGCTACAGCTGGCCTGGATTCGCAATGTAGACCAGGCTGGCCTCGAACTCAGAGGTCCACCTGCCTCTGCCTCTGCCTCTGCCTCTGGAGTGCTGGGATTAAAGTGCACACCTTTTCAGAAGGATCTGTCCGCACAGCACAACCTCGCGTGCAGAGGGCCAATGGGCCGAGTGCTCAAACCTCTCTTTAAATTTATTTTGGCCAGGCGTGGTGGCAGAAGCAGGCGGATCTCTGTGAGTTCAAGGCCAGCCTGGTCTACATAGTGAGTTCCAGGACAGCTGGGGCTACAGGGAGACCCTGTCTCAAAGAGACAAAAAAAAAATTTTGTTTTTATTTTATGTGTATTTGTGTCTCACCTGCCTGCATACAGGTGCACCATGTGTGTGCAATGTGCAAAGACATCAAAACAGCATCAGTTTTAGCTGCCATGTGGGTGCTGGAAACCAAACCCAGGTCCTGTACGAGAGCAGTCAGTGCTCTGAACCGCTGAGCCGTCTCTCCAGCCCCCAGCTCCCCCTCTTGCTGAGCAGTGTTTCTCCCTGTGCTCCTGGGCAGGCCCTCAGCATTCCCTGCACGCTGGAGCAGGGAAATTCAGCAGTGCACGTGGCGCCTTTGGAAGGCTAAGAACGTGACCACTGCATGGGGGTCCTCTTTTTCAGCTGTCACTCTCACAGCCTGAGCCATCCCTGGTCTCAGCAGCAGGAGCACACAGGATCCCAGTTCCCCACATCACAAGGCCATCCTTCTCACTCCAGCCCTTCCCATGGGGAGGCTCTGTGGTCTCTAAGAGCATTCCCTACCATCAGGCTGCGGAACGCCTTCCCAGTGCTGACTAGTTGTGCATGTTTGGTGCTGTGTTCAAATCCTTTGCCCATTTTTAAAACATGTTTTCTTTCTTTGGTCTTTTTGAGACAGGGTCTCCCCGTAGCCTTGAACTCACAGAGATCCGCCTGCCTCTTCCTCCTGAGTGCTGGGACTAAAAGCACATGCCTCCAAGCCTGGCTTCCTTTTGTATTTTGGATATAAATTCCTCATCAGCTTGGACTTGAAACCTGCAGCTCGTGTCCTTGTTCTCTTTAGAGCCTTCTAGAGAAAAGCTTTACGGCGATGCGGTCCAAGTTACCAGCTGTGACTTATGGAGCACGTTTGGTACCGCACTCGGAAACCTTTCCCTAGCTAGTCTCACAAAGCTTTCTTCTGGAAGCTTCCCTGAGTCTGGGGTCATTCCTGAGTTGATGTCTGCAAGGGAGGTCTAAGGCGAGGCCAGTGTTCATGGGCTGCTGGTTCCAGGCCCGTCTTCTCCAAGTCTCTGTGCCATCTTGGGGTCGCAGGGCTGAGCCATGAACTTGGGTCTAGTGGGTCTTCTGCTCGAATCTGCTTTCATCATCCAGTTCTACACAGACATTTCCAAACCACTCTGTTCGTTTCTAAAACACAAACTCCACCAGGCTTTTTTAGGGGTTGTGTTTGCTGAACACTGTGCGTGGAGGGCGCAAGAGCACACCCTCTTCCTCATACTGTCCTTGGCCCTGTTCTTAGAACTGCGGTCCCTGGTAGCTGCTGCATCTGAACAATGCTAGGAGATGCTGGAGGCCAGAGGTGCAGGGGTTCCACTTTCCTGCTTTCCTGCACGGCAGGACACCAAATCAAGGCCTGCCCAGTACAACACAATGAGATCTTTAAAAAAAAAAATTTTTTTTTTTTTAATGTGTGTGCATGTATTGCCTGCATGTAGGTAAGTGCACCTGTGTAGTGCAATGCCTTCAGAAGTCAGAAGAGGGCACTGGATCCCCTGGAACTGGAGTTACAGACAGTTGTTAGCTGCCATGTGGGTGCTGGGATTTGAACCCAGGTCTTCTGCAAGAGCAGCCAGTGTTCTTAACTGCTGAGCCATCTCTCCAGCCCAACACAATGAGATCTTGTGATGGCAGAACAGCAGGGCTGACTTGCCTGGGTGGAGGGGCACTGTCATGGAAGACAGAGCTTTTAAGGTTGGTGCAACATTCTTCCTGTGGGCCTTGGTCACCTGACAAAGCAGAGCAGATGCCCTCCTGATGCGTACCAGTCAGCACCCCAAGACAGCTGGAGTGCTTGCTGGACGGTAGGGGCTTCCATCTCCCAGGTAAGACAACACTTCCAGATGTGCCAGGAGAAGCAAGATTTCCTGACAATGTGCACCCTACAACATGCCAGTTTAGACCCTTGGGCAGAAAGCATCTCACTGGTATGAGCACTGAGCAAGTCTGTGGCAGCATGGCCACATCGAGCTGCGGGGTCCAGCTGCTCCACCAACACTCACGTCCTCCTGAAGAAACTGTAAGCAGGCCTGGGCACCACAACACGCCACAGCCCTACTTTCCTACTGAGCACCAGGGCAATCCAAGCCCACCATGACAGACTGGGCAGAAGCAAGCCTGGTTGTCAAATGGCTTCACGCACATTATTCTACTGGACCGTCCTGACGTCTCTCTCGGGACATACTAAAGCAAGACCAGGAGGAAAGACTGACCATATTCTCAAACACCCCCAGGCCTCCAGGTGTGCGGCAGCCACTACAACATGGCCAGGGTCCCAGGTTACCCGCTGCCCCCAGGACCTTGAGCCCTGGGGATGGTGGATCCACGGAGCTGAGGCTCTGGTGTTACCACCCATCAACAGCCTCTAACGATGCCAAGGGCTCTCCCCACACAGCACCACCCAGTGCTACAAGCTGGTCTTTAGAGACAAAGGCTCAAGTATGTGATGCAGCACATTCTTCGGAAAGGAGCCCATGACTCACAGAACTCAGTATAGGAGGTTTTCATCCTGAGTACACTCCAGTACTGCTGGGTATATTTCCATCACTGTCCATGTTCAACAACATATAGTCAAGCGCCTGTCACACCATGCTGGGTGGTAAGAGAACCTTGATACAAGCCAGAGATGCATTTCTCAGCCTCCTTTGCAGCTACGTGAGACCAAGAAACAGAATTTTTGTTATAAAATTAAGTGGATGCTCTTGTGGCTACCCTTAGGCATGTTCCTCTTTTTAACCCTGTACCCTGCAGTCCAGGATCAAACTACAAGGGCCGGAGCCCTAGCTGCCATCTTGGACCACAAAGCTAAAGGCCAAATCCTAGGGACGCACGTGCAGTGAGCTGGAGGCAGCTGGGGACAGGCTCCCTGAACAGCACAGCAGGTGAGGCGGCCTTCGGATGACCTCAGCTCCCCTGTGGAGGTCTTTCCTCACAGCACAGCCCACCCTTCATGATGTGTTGCTTGCAATACATCCCCATACCACCCGAGTGGTCGTGCACCCAGCCAGCAATCAGGACTGAGTGCCCAGTGCCACCACGGCCCAGCTTTCATTCTTTCCACACCCAGAGTAATGCGGCAATGTCTCCCTCCTCCAGGGAGGCAGGCCACAAACAGGTGCAGCCTCTGTCCTGGTCACGTGAGATGAGTGCTCCGGAGCATGGCTTCTCCCCAGCAGCCTGCCATGGGGACACAGTCCAGACAGGCACAGCACCTCACTGGGCACTCGTGTGGCACAAGAGGCACAGCTTTTACGCAGACACATGGAAAGGCCCATGTGGTCAAGCGTTTCCCTCAGAGCCTTGGAGAGGGGAAGCAGCGTCTTACCTCGAAGGAGCACTCGATGCTTCGGTCACTCTTGGTGTGTGATAGCCCCTTCAGGTCTATCTTTTCAACACTCACTGTGAAGCACACAAAACAAAAACAGAACAAGATTAGAAGAGGGAGGGAGACCTGAGTGCATATACCATGCTGGGCATGTGACAGGTGGTCATTCACACAAGGCCCCCAGAGCCCAGACTTGGGTGGCACCTGCATAGGCCTCACTTGGCAAGGACCAATCTCAGGAAAGGAAGCACAGGGTTTTGAGTGAAGCCATATATGTGGACAGTCACCGTCTGGGTCCAGCTCCTGGGAAACCAACTCACCATCTCCACGGTACCTGTTCCATACAAGAAGAAGCCAGGCACTCCCTCAGGCCTGCTCCCTGCTGCTCCGGCAACAACGGAGGCTTTCGGTACAAGCTGTGGAGGGACCACAGTGGTTCCTAACCTTTGTGACAGAGTATAAGGTTGGGCACAGACAAGGCCAAAGGATGCCAACTGTCACGTCCCACAGTGTTCTGCAGCCTGGCTTTCTCCCTGCCCCGTTCTGAACCTTCCTCCTCAGAAATGGAGTGACACCACTACGCTCAAAGCATTGTCTCTAGGCAGGCTCAGACGTGCTCGAAAGGCCATCAAGCGTGCCACTGACCTCACCCTCGTGGACTGTCCACTGCTGACTGACCCCACTCTCCCGGGCTCTGGGCACACGTCCCACTGCTGACTGATCCCATGCAGCCCCAGCGGCTTCGCCGGTCACTCTGCACAGCACTAGAGTCACATAATTCAAGTTAGGCAACAGGGAAGACCAGGCAGAGGCGGCCGCACAGGGCAGAGGCAGCGCACAGGGCAGAGGCGGCGCACAGGGCAGAGGCGGCGCACAGGGCAGAGGCGGCCGCGCTGACACCTCCCACACTTTCCCATGGTCCTCCATGGCTGAAAGGCTCCCTGGTGGTGTGCTGTGATCCCCGGACAGCGACTTCCAGAATGTTGTCTAGGATGCCAGTTCTGGGAGATATGGAGGGACAACCAGTTGTTGCTTGGCAGCCGGCACTGCCCTGGGCTGGAGCTGCTGATAGTGGGATCTGTTTAAATGCATCCAAACGGAAGGAAACTGAAGTCCGGTCTAGGTACTACACAAGTCACTACTCCAGATGGTGTGGAATGGACGCTGCCGATGTGAGAGTGCCCTTGGACTTGCACACATGGGCCAGGCAACCTCTGCCTGTCTGTGCGAACAGCTTTCCTGGCCCAAGGCCACATGTTCCAGTACCACCGACAGAGCTTCCCACCTGCCATGGCAAAACTGGGCTCAAAGGGGAGTCACACACCACATACCACCTCAGGCTGCCACCCTGCACTGCACCACAGCAAAGCCCCAGGCCTGAAAGTCTGAGCCCAGGCCAAGCGCTGGGAAAGTGGAGGTGGGGCAGGAGCCTACAGGCAGAAGAGCCGGTCACCAGCTCAATGGCCAAGTGCAGCAGCCCCACCACAGACTGTGATGTCACTTGAGACCCTTCTCTGAGCAATGCAGTGAACAACATAACCAACTCAAGACGGTCAGCGCCTTCTCGCCCAGAGCACCCACACATTCCCTGTGCCCCCAGACGGAAGAGCACCCGGGTGCATGTGAAAGGACAGAGGGGAAGTGACTCAGAGTTGGACAGGAAAACAGGCGAGCAGACGAGTGTAATTCTGCTGTTTTCATATAAAGCACCATTTTGGAGCCAAGTGTAATTGCTCACAGCCGGGCCACTGCCCTAGGCTCCGGTGCTCCAGCACCCAGAAGACAGAATGCCCATGGCCAACACTAGCAGCAGTGGGTGATGGGACCTGTACTTAGGCGTGCACTGCCTGCATGTGTGTGTGCACCCGTGACGTGCAGTGCCTGTGGAGGTCAGAAGAGGGCATCAGATTCCCCTGGGACTGGAGTTAAGGATGTTGTCAGCCACCATGTGGGTGCTGGGAATCAAACCTGGGTCTTCTGCAAGAGCAGCCAGAGCTCTTAACCACTGAGCCATCTCTCCAGCCCCCCCCCCTTTTTTTTTTTTTTTTTGTCTTTTTGAGACAGTGTCTCCCTGCAGCTCCAGCTGGCCTGGAACTCACTATGTAGACCAGGCTGTTCTTGAACTCAGAGATCCACTTGCTTCTGCCTCCCAAGTGCTGGGACTAAAGGCATATGCCACCAGCTCGTGTATTTCTTTTTATTTTGAGACAGGGTCTCCCTGTAGCCCCAGCAGTCCTGGAACTCACTAGTAGACCAGGCTGTTCTTGAACTTAGAGATCCGCCTGCCTCTGCCTCCCAAGTGCTGGGATTAAAGGTGTGCGCCACCACGCCTGGCTCAGCTCATGTATTTCTGAGGGGCCTCCAGAGACTCCAGCAGCCTGGTACCCTACTTGGCTTTTAAGAATCAGCAAACCGTATTCGTTAGTGAAGATACATCTGGAGTCTGTAGGGAGCTCAACAGCCTGGGAGCCAAGCCTCCCACTGTTCTGCTCTCTACAAAAGCTGTGCCATGTGTACCCTTTAGACCCCCCAGACCCAGGGGAAAGGCTGTTTACCCAACAGCTGCTTCTTCCCTTCCACTCCCCTCAACGCCACCTTTAATGAGACAGGGTCTTGCCACGTAGCCTCTGCTGGCCCTAAACTCCTACCTCAGCCAAAGCCATCCTCCACTGGGACTACAGGTGTGGGCCACCAGTTTCTACCCTTGCTAGGGCCGAGTGAGAGTGCCCAGGAAAGTGAAATGGGACACAGAGCATCCTGTGTAATGTTCCTGCGAATCATAAGCAAAGCACAAGCTCTACAAGCCGTATGTGGACAACAATGAAAGGTCCTAGGTCAAGACCTCCAACCACACCTACTGTGTGGCCAAAGCCCCTACAGAGCCTGGCTGGCTGGGGAGGTCATGGAAGCATGCCCACAGGGTCGGCCCGGGTGCCTCCCACAGTCCTCACCTCAGTGCGCACAGAGCTACAGGGACAACACAGGCCTGACAGGCACCGCCAGGGAGGAGCAGAGGACACTGGCCACAGCCCAGGCTCACCCACACTGACTGACAAGCCCCGTCCTTTGCAATGCTCACGCCTCTGCCCCACTGGCTTCACATACACCACAAGAGTCAACACTGGCAGAGTCACCCGTACCACCTGTCACAACTTCAATCACAGAAAAGACAACTTACCCTACCCGAAACCTTTTCTCAAAATACCCCTATGGGTTTGCCTGTGTTCCCAGCACTAAGGAAGGGACAGAAAAGGATCCCAAGTTCAAGGCCAGCCTAGGCCACAGAAACCCTGTCTTCAAAGACCCCCCGCCCCAAGGCGCCTTACTGGTGCCTCACTCCCCTTAGCTCTTGTTTCAGTTTATTTCATGGTCATCAATTTGAAAAATCCACAGCACGGGCTGGAGAGATGGCTCAGGGGTCTAATGAGCACTTGGTCTTCCAGGAGACTCAGGCTCAGTTCCCAGCACCCACAATGCAGCTCACAGATGCCTGCATGCACATGGTGCACATACATACACTCAGGCACACACACACACACATACACATACAATTAAATAAATAAATCTTTAAGGGGGGGTGCACTGGAGAGATGGCTCAGAAGTTAAGAGCACCAGCTGCTCTCACAGAGGACCCGGGTTCGGTTCCCAGCACCCACATGGCGGTTCACAACCATTTGTAACTCTAGGTCCAGAGGATCTAACAACCTCTTCTGGCCTCTGTGGGCACTTTACACATGTGGTCCACTTATATGCATGCAGGCAAAACACTCATATAACATAACAAAGAATAAATAAAATTTGAAAAAGAAAAAACAAAAATCCACACACAACTCCCCCAAGCACAGATATGCTGTGTCACCTGTGCCCTGATCAAGAACACAGAACAGATCTGAGCAGGGCCCTCTGTCTAGCTAGCAACACTGGAGGCCTCAGAGCTACAGAGCCTTCTCTTGAAGGGCAGAGCCAACAGCTCCAGGTGGAATAATTCATCATCTTCCCAAGAAGGTATTCTCAGAGAACCACACTTGGAAAACATCATCTTACCAGTGAACACAGCAGCCTTCTTACACATAAAATCTTTATGCTACTAGCTGGTGGGAATTCCCTGCAACCACTCCTATTCATGTACAGTTACACCGACAGAGGGCCGGTCTGTAATCACAGCATGGGGAGAGGTAGAGGCAAAAGAGGAGAACGAGGAGCTCAAGGCCAGCTTTGACTAAGTGGAAAACTCATGGCCAGCCTGGGCTACAGGAGACCCAAGGAATAATCACATCAGGGCTGAAATGGGGCTAGGTGGTGGCATGCCCTTTAACTCCATGCACAAGGAGCTACAGTTCCATACCTCGCACAAAATGGAGCCAGCTGATTTTAACTGGCCTTCCACTTAAAATACTTTGCTCTTGCTTTTTGGGCAAGCCTGTGTTTCCAAAAACCATGGCTAAAAGTGATCTGGGGTGCTCTGGTCAGGCATGATGTAGCAGCAGTGCTACAGAAGCCTCTTAAGCCGAAAGAGGGCGAGAACTTGGCTCACTGGTCTGGGGAACTACGACCCCAAGACAGTGGAGAGACTCGGTACTGTCTGCTCTGGCCTCCAGAGACTCAGGTCCAGCCACAGAAGTGTTAAGACAGCCCCAGCTTCCTACATGGAAAACCAGAGGAGCTGCAGGGAACAGGAAGCCCCAGAGTGTGGACACCTGTGGGTGTGCAGCCTAGAAGGCGTCTGTGCTCCTGGGCACACCCAAGCACACCCACTCACCTTCAGTTGAGGGCCAGAGGGAGCCAAGCAGGCCCCTTTCCTGAACTCAGTGTAGCCAGGCAGAGCCAGTTCTCACCCCTCAGCACCTGCTGTGCCCTTGCTAGAAGGCACAGCACTGTCACCACCATCACCAGCTGCCAGAGAGAGCAATCCATGGCCTGCAGGCAAGGTGTGTACACTGACCCAGCAGGGGGGCCTAGTCAGGCCCCACCCCCCACCCCACATGGCCACACCTCCACAAGCTATAAGGATCTGGTCTGACAGCTCTCTGAAGAACACTGTTCCTCAGGCAGGAGTGTCCTAAGATTCAAAAAC